ATTAGTTCACATATGGCTTTTAGTATATCATTAAGAGTTGTCACTCTCTACCCATCACCATAATCGGTTACAAACTAACTTCTAAAATTAGACTATAAACTTTGTATTTAAAAGAAATCTTATCAACCCACCCTCTTGTACAGGGTATTAAGTTTTAAACTACAAGTTGTATTAATTATAGTGTTGATAGCTAACATTTTTTTGTTTATATGCAAATGTCATATTCTTTCTATAACAATTGAATCATTCACTTTATACAATATAATAGGTATTTTATTCATGTGCAGGTTTGCCTTGAAATGAATGATATGCCAAATGAACAATAATCATATACATGTCATGTATCTCATATCTAGATTTAGTACAATAGCACTTAATCATTTTATATTCAACATTTTCCCTACTTATTTCACATAAAGTAACATATAAGCCAAACTACTAAGTAAAAACTCAACATAAACTAGTCAAAATGCCCCTAATAATGATATATATCACATATCAAATGTTATACAGTGAAAGTTCACTAAAATGGGATATATCAAATTTTTATCACCTTTAGAAATAAAACATATTAAACTCAGAATCATTGAAAATAGATTTAAATTAAAGGCCAATTATGATGATCAAAATAATTTTTCTTAACAGGAATATGAATAATAATTCCCTAGAGAACTTTCTATCTCCTCTATCTCTCTCTCCTCTCCTCTCCCCCTTCTCATCTCCTTCACCTTTCTTTCCTTCATGGCTAAGCAAAATGAATATATGGAGGGATGGAGTGGTGAGGGATATTTAAATGAAAACTACTTAAAAAAAATACTCATTTAAGTGCTTAGTGTCGCGGTGAGCAAGATCTAGTGTCGTTGTGCTACAACCCCCAAAGTTATTGTAGAACAGAGGGCTCAGGGCAGCGATTGCATTTTTTGGCACCGCAGAGCTCTTAGAGCCATCAAGCTCAATTGGAAATTTTATGTTTTTCATATAAATTCATTTTTTGTTATTGCATTTAATGGCAATCCTCTTTTCTTTTATGTTTAATGTTATGCTCATAAACTCTAATTATCCTTAATGGCTATGGTAAAGAATTATTGGCAGGTGAAATTTTTTTTTAGATCAAATCAAAAAATTTTAATACTATTGGAGCTTCATGTAAAAAAAATGATACACTTAAAGCTAATTTGTATAGTAAAATTTCTTTCCATCTAACCACTAGCTAGTTAAGTAGTGGTCGAGGATTAAACTAAGAGACTAATTTATAATGAGTTAGTGGCACAGCTGGGGTTTGCATTTCCATGCCTTAATTACTATGATGAAACTGTATGTTTCTAGAATTGAAATGCTTAATTGATATTATTAAGGAAGATGAGATATATGATCAATAGTTTGTTGAAATCGATGTTTTAATAGATGTTATGAAATATTTCAACTGTATCTCAAAATGAGCTTAAAGATTGACATTTTAAGGATCACAAATGAATTGTCATAAGCCTTACAAAGAAAAGATCAATATAGTGTGAATGTAATGAAATTGACGCAAGTATCCAAACAAGGATTGTAGGCGATGAGAGAGAACAGATGTGAGTATTTACTAAAAAGAAGTATCACATTTATAATATTTTTAGAATTGATGCTCCAAATATGAACTCTATATTTAAGGCTTTGTATATGGTCAGTAAAAAGAGGTAAAAGAAATAGGAAAATTGCATAATTATCATGTTTATTTATATGTTTTACAATATTGTTAATATACAACTCTAAAAATTGAACAATCACTTCATTGAAGCTAGTACTCAGTAACTTTTTGCATGTCAATACCCAATTAATTCATATGTTGCTTATTTAATTTATTTTTTTTTTATAATTACGTATGTGGTTCTTAAACACCAGTTATCTATATACATTATTGATATATGTATCAGTGATAATTTCACATCTTTGACTAAAATAGCTGATGTGGCAAAATAAATTATTAAGATAAAGAAAGATATTTTGTATTTTCTATTTTATAAGCTTATTATTATGGCATTAATTTTGCAGGTTGTTACTACTATAATTGAGAGAGCATTTTCTACAATAAAGATTATCAAGCATTGTTTGCTTGATAAAATGAATGATGACTAATTCAATCATTATCTAATGACATATAATGAGAAAGAAGTACATAGCTTGATTCATAATGAAGTCATTATGCAAAATTATCATAAAATAGAAAATAGATTGCAAACTTATAATTATTTTTCAATTCATCAATCATAATGAAATAGAAGGCTTTGCTTTGTATTTTGTCTAATGCATTTTTTTTTTTTAAATATTTAGCCATTCATGTAATAAGTTTGTCCACACTAAAAAAAACCTTATTACAATCTTTTATAATTCATATAAATTCGCACTTCCGTTGTGATTCTTGTATCTACCATGAACCTTTAGAAGAGCTCTAGTTGATGTAATATGCTCCATGAATCTAAAGGACAAGGCAATATATCTAGAGGATGTGAAGAGATTCGAGAGAACAAGTAGATTTAATACACATGAAACTGTAATATCTGTGGACAAGCATCCCTATAAAGCGACCTCTAAACTGAAACTAATTACATTAATAATCCATCTCTTAATTAAAATAGTTTTGTATTTATCATGCTTAATTATCAAATATTAAAGGTTTATGTTTTCCCTATTTATCTCATATATTAAATGTTTTTTCTGTTTCTGCGGATGAAGATAAAATGCTTTTAATATTTATAATTCAGGGCAAAAGTTCGAGAAAAAAAAAACAAGCCATGTCCATTTTATTTTTTATATTTTAATTTTGAGGAACTTATTTATTGAATTCTTATATATTTATATATCTAATGCATAAATATTAATATTAATTTATATGACACACTAATTAGGGTCGGATTTAGGGGAAGCTTGTGGGGGCACATGCTCCCCCTCCAAAAATGACAGTTTGGAAATAGGATTATGCTGGAATTGAGCAGGATTTGGTCTAAGAAGCACGCAAACAAAAGAAAGATGGTTACCTTCATAACGAGCATCCTCGTGTCATCGTCGTTACTTCTGATTGAACATTTGAGCTACGAGGAGCTGGGGTTTCGGGTCTTACAGGAAGGAACATCATTGAAGGAGGCGAGGAGGTTATTTAGCAACTAGATCAAACCTTTACATGTACGTAGGGGTGTCAAAATAGGTCCTCAAGTCGGGTTTGAGTCGAACTCGGATTGACCCGGGTCTAAACGGGTTGACCCAAACCCGACTCATTTTCACAAATGGGTCAAGAAATACAACCCGGACCAAACCCCGAGCAGATTGCGGGTTGACCCGACCCAACCTACAAACCCGGGGACGCTCTTACAAACTAGGGTCATCGGAGGAGCTTTGAAGGCAGAGTTTAGCTAGGGTATGTGCTTGTGCGGGCGCCTCGGCCTGGCAGACAACGGAGGAAGGACAACCGATCGGATAAGTTGGCACCTCGTCCTGGAAAACAGTGGAGAAAGGACGGACGGTCGATGGAACTCGCGGAATGGGGACAACTTGCGACCTTACATATGGCAGATGCTGGAGGCCCGGATAGTCGGATTGGCAGAGGATGGATGCGGCAGTCGACAGGCAATCCAAATTCCTGAAGTTGGAAAAGGATGGCTTGCTAATAGGCCAATCTGAAGAACGCCAAAACCTAGGGTTTCTAAATGGGTCAACCGGATCAATTTTGGGTCATCGGATCAAAGCGAACCTAACCCGATTTTTTTAAACGGGTTGACAAAGTCAACCCAAACCAAACCTCTATGTTAAACGGATTAACTCGACCCCAAAATTTTCCAGGTCAGTTTCAGGTTATGTCAAATATTAACACCCCTACTTGTACGCGAAGGAGGCGAAGGAAAAGAGGAACAAACAGCGGAGATGGGAAAAAGAGAACCCGCTTAGATTTCTTTTTCGTTATTTATTCTTTTTTTAACTTAAATTTTTATTCAAATTATTTATTTTTTAATATATTATGTATTATTAAAATATATTTATTTGTGCCAAGCAGTTTGTCGTGCAAGATGCGTTGCTGTTTCATTAATGTATTAGAAAAATAAAGTTGTTGAACTGCAACTTAGGTTTCATTTTAAGAAGACTTTATTACTGTTCGTTGCTGTTTCATTAATGTATTAGAAAAATAAAGTTTTTGACTCAAACTTAGGCTTCATTTAAGAAGACTTTATTACTGTTTTTTTTAATTATCTTTTAGTATAAAAATATTTTGAACTAAAATTTTTTTAATAAAAAATTGTTTTAAAAAACAGTAAAAATATCTTCTAAACAAAGCCTTAATCTATTAGTTAAGAGAATTGCTATAAACCAGCTGATGATTTTAAAAATAAATAAATGAATAAATATAGAAATGGTGAAATTAACTTTAGGTTGATTTCTAAGTATTTTCAAACTAAAAATTGGCCTGCATAATATAGCTGGAAAAAATTACATGAAAATGAGCTTTAAAGTTATTAGATTTATTTTAAGAAGAGTATAATATATAATTAATTAATATTACATTCATCTTAAAATAAATTTAAGAACTTTAAGATTCGTTCTGATTATTTTTATAAAAATATCTTTATATAAATTTTTTCTAACAAAGATCTCTCCTAATTTAAAATGTATGCCTTCCTATAAGATCCTAAGATCCTATTAGAAGAATATATCTGTTATATTCGGCCTATGTTAAGAAGATAGATATATAATTAAAATACTTAATTATAAAATATTAGATATAGTTTTTTTTATCAGATCTAAATGAGGATTTGACTCTTAATAAGGGGAAATTATCTATATGGTCACTGGACCGTTGGAAGGCAAATCAAAATGTGTCACGTCACCCAATACACAATATTGATAAATAGCAAAAAACTGATGTGGCGCGTCCTGATTCGCCGCGGACAGCATCCAATGACTGCACAGAATAATTTCTCCTAATGGAGAAAAGTGATTTATGTCGCTAATCCCACGTAATGGGATAATTATTTTTGTTGTTGTTGTTGTTGTTGTTGTTGCAGCTATCTTATGATATGTTTGGTGGACATATAAGCTGACTCATAACCCTTAAAGAAAGATAGAATATTAGGCACTTATTGTGAAGTATATCAAACCTAAATCAATTAAACATTGAGAATCAAAAAAGAAAAATGAAGATGGAATAGAAAATCAATGAACGAAAACAAATAAAATTTTTTCATAAACACATAAAACATTCAAATTAATGCTTATATCATACTGCAATCGCTACATAATTTTCATAGTTTGAGTGTAAGGAAATATAAATATAATAACTTAGATACAGTAAAAAGAAGCCCCCACCTTTGATAAAACAAATTTTATGGCAACCAAAAATATAATAAAATATCCAAAACATCCTTTATAAAATAACCGAATAGTATTAAATATGCTTTTGAGAATCCTCTATGTAGGAAGTCTCTATGCCTCCCTTCCAATGCGCACAATAATCTTATCTTTAAATTCGGGTTTTTTTTTGGGACTATGATGAATTGGTTATTGATTTAACCTCGGATTTTTGGAAGGCTGATTTGGTCATTTGTAGCAATCAAGGATATTTTGTTTAATGTGATTTTTCATTCATGTTTTGCTCGATTGGCAATCAACTCTAGCTTTCGATGACCGGTTCTTGAAATTTGGAGGATTGTTCTTCTTTGCTCTGAGGCTTCAGATGAATATTTAACCTTCTTGAGTTTCTTTAGCGGGGGTTTCTTTTTTTTTCTTTTTTTTTTTTTTCAGTTACTATTTTTGTTTTAAATAATTATTGCAATTCTGCTCTTATTATGGGATTTTTGTTAAGAGTTTTTTGAACTCCTTTTTCTGAGGCCTTATGGCAGTTGTATATGTTATTCAACACCCTGGTTGAAGGAGTTAGTTGGATGGCTGATTGGATGTCTTTGTTTTTTCATTCCAGGATGGCTATTTGGAGCTTAGTTTCTTGGATGCTCCGAGCTTATGGGTTCATTGTAGGAATCTTCTTTGGAGACTGTTTCATGCTAATTGTGTCTCTACAATGTATGGATGGATGTTCATTCAGTGATGTCCATTTGGATCTTGAATACATGAAGGATGTTGACTTATGGCCTGATTCCTAGTGAGAAGTTTTATTTAAGGCTGGCTCTTCAGTCTACAGATCTTTTAGAATTGTTCTCATTAGGTGACAGTTTTGTTTTTTCTTGTTGCTTGGTCTGGTCCTCAGCATGTTATATTTTCATTTGAAGCTTGATATTTTAGGCTTTTTATATAGTATTTGTAAGTTTTTTCTTATTTTTCTTATAAATTTTGTAATCTTCAATTTGAAATTTTTTCATTATATTAATGAAAATTGAGGATGATTGTCCCTAATTATCCAACGACAACAATATCAACCCTTTATCCGACTATGTTGGGCGAGCTACATGAATCGTTTTTCTCCATTGTGCTCTGTTTAAAGTTAAATTCTCATTTAAATCTTAAAAAAAAATGCCATTTGTAATATTTTCTAATCAAGTCTTTTTACGTCTATCTCTGCCCTTCTTAACATAAGTCAAATCTAAGACATCTACTTTTCTAACCGGGTCATCGGAAGGCTGTCGTTTTATGTGACCAAACCATCTAATGCGACTATCTCTAATATTATATTCCACTTGAGCTACTCCAACCTTTTCACGTATATGCTCATTTTGTATCATATCTCTAAGAGTAAAGTCACTCATTCACCTGAGCATCCTCATCTCTGCAACACTTAACTTAATATTATGCCTCTCTTTTAATGGCCAACATTCTGCACCTTAAAGAATTGCAGGTCTAACAACCATCTTATAGAATTTTTCCTTTAATTTGAGATGGATTTTTCTATCACACAATAAGCCCGATGCAATCCTCCCAAAAAGAAAAAATTCGATCCATATACAAATCCGTGTAATATATTTTCGTTGCAGGATAAAAATTACGCACCGCAACTTAACATGTGTGGCAATACTTACGAATTTCATTTAAGTGCTAAATAAATCCTTTTATTATATTTTTAGATTGGAATCCATCTAATCCCTCCCAAACACAAGTTAGAAATTGCAAATTTAACTTCAGTAACATAAACTAACTTAGAAATTGTAAATTTAGGCTTCAATATTTTCTTAAGCAATTTTCTAAAATAAAATTTTTTAGCTCATAAAATTTTTGTAATAAAAAGCTGCATTATAAAGAAATAAAAAAGTTATGACAAACGAAAACTTAATTTGAGCGAAATCAACTAACCTTACTATGTCTGAGACCTCATGGTAATAGTCCCCTTCATTAACTCCCACCACATAGGTTGGAATATCAGCTCCTTTGGCCGGCGCTGTAATGATGACTTTCTTAGCTCCTGCTTGTATGTGCTTTCCAGCGCCTGGGCCGTCCACAAAAACTCCAGTACCCTTTACAGAATCAACAAAAATACTTCAGAATATTTAATTTACAAATAATAAAAATATAATGAGTGTATACTCTTCTAATAGATTAATAGTTGATTTGATGTCCTATTGTTTATCTATTTATGTCCTATTATTTTTTTATAAATCAAGATATTAAAACCAATTTGTATAGCTCAAAGTATTCATGATGAGCTCAGGTCAATCTCGTTGGCTAAAATAAGTCAATTAGAATGAGCCAGATCAATTAGTGGCTACACGTGGTAGCATCTTATATCCAAAAAGCTAGCTCTAATACATATTTCATATAGTTAATGAGATATGATTAACATATTTATTTTTTGTGATAAGATTTTATTTTCGTTGCAGGATAAAAATTACGCTCCGCAACTTAACATGTGTGGCAATAATTACGAATTTCATTTAAGTGCTAAATAAATCCTTTTATTATATTTTTAGATTGGAATCCATCTAATCCCTCCCAAACACAAGTTAGAAATTGCAAATTTAACTTCAGTAACATAAACTATGTTAGAAATTGTAAATTTAGGCTTCACAATTTTCTTAAGCAATTTTCTAAAATAAAAATTTTTAGCTCAAAAATTTTTTTAGAAAGCAATAAAAAAGTTATGCCAAACTAAAACTTAATTTGAGCGAAATAAACTAACCTTACTATGTCTGAGACCTCATGGTAATAGTCTCCTTCGTTAACGCCCACCACATAGGTTGGGATATCAGCTCCTTTGGCCGGTGCCGTAATGATGACTTTCTTAGCACCGGCTTGTATGTGCTTTCCTGCGCCTGGGCCGTCCACAAAAACTCCAGTACCCTTTACATAATCAACAAAAATACCTCACAATATTTAATTTACATATAATAAAAATATAATGAGTGTATACTCTTCTAATAGATTAATAGTTGAATTGATACACACAACAACTCATTTGTCTTAATATCTCTACTATCAAGTAACAAAATCACATAGTTTCTCTCCTATTCTTTCTCCTCATCTCTGTCTCTCTTTCTTCCTAGTTCTCTATTTCTCATAATCAATCTTTTGAATAAGAACTCAGCATTCACCCACTGACAAATATAAATTTAGATTTTGTTTGGGACGACTTTCTTACTGCTTCAAAATAAAAATTTTAAGCAGCAATAAAAAAATCATCCCAAACGAATCTTTAGTACTACTGGCTCTAAATATCATTATATCTTCTAGTTATATTAATTAATAATTAATCATATCATATCAATCAATTAAGGAAATATTAACCAAGTAAGAAAGATGGAGGTACCTCAATGACAATATCGATGCCAAGATCAGCCCATGGAAGCTTCAAAGGATCCCTATTTGCAACAACCTTGACTGGCTTTCCATCAACGCTAATGGTTTCATTATCAACAATCTTCACATCGGCTTTGAAAGTCCCCAGCATAGAATCGTATTTTAGAAGATGAGAAGCCTGTAATTATTTGAAAAAACGCTATATCAATATACTTAGATAAAAAAAATCATCCTGATGCCATTTTTTTGCTAATTATTATTGATAAACTCAGGCAAACCAACTAAGTATACTTTTTTCATACATTTTTAACACCACCGCTGTCGTTTACAACGACGACATCAAGTGGAGAGTTCTTCCTTCCATGCCAGCATCGGAGAAAGTTCCTTCCAATTCTCCCGAATCCATTAATGGCCACCTTCAGCTTCGCCACAGTCTCCCCTCTCACAGCTCTGCTTCCGTGAATCTGAAACAGAGCAAGAAAAAAATCACCATTCAAAATCTAAAATTTTAATTTCAAGTCGAGCTAAATTTGATTTGAGTTAAAATTAAGAGAAATTTAAATAAATTTTCGGTATTAGATTTGAAATTTAAAGACTTAAGCTTCATTTAGGACAGTTTAAATTTTGTATGGTTTTACTTTTTTTAAGCTCTTTCTTAGCTACAGTTTGAAATTTAAATTTTGTGTGAATTGAGACATTCGAAATGAATCAAAACTAATTTTGAGCATCATCGAATGGAGGAAAACTAAAAATAGAGCTTGTTTCGAGCATCAAACAAAAGTATTGTCATGTCTATTACTAACAATAGAACTTGAACTGGTGATCGCGGCTCACCTTGGTGGCCAACTGTGCTGCCACTAGCTCGGAGAAGGAGATCTGATCTCTTGTTTGGCTTGCAAAAGCCACGGATGAGCTCGATCGAAGCCCGCTGAACTCTGCAACTTCATGCCTCTGCAAGAGAACTACAAGTTAGAGGAGGAGTTGGAGGAAGAAGTGAAGAAGAAGAAGAAGAAGAAGAAGGATGAGATACCTTGGAACGAAGACTGGCGGTTGAGGGAATCCTGGAAGAGGCGAGAGCTGAATGGCTAGCCATTGTTGCAAGCTGAAGACAGAGGAGAGAGAGAGATTAGAAATGGTGTGGAATCATATATATGTGATGGTTTTAATTTCAAGAGGACGGTATCAAGTAGATCTATGTATGGTGATTGTGGTATTGGGGGTTTAGGGTAATGGAGTGAAGTGAAGTACTGTTTTTCTTTTTTATTTTTTTCTCCTTCTGTGGTGAGAGACAGGGAAGATATGGGATTTAAGGATAGCGTTGCTCTTTGCTGAGGACCACACATTTCTTACCCTTTTATTGGCAATGTTTCTTATATGATACTTTTTAGGGATTTGGGTGCAAAGCTTGTGATTAGCATTTATTTTGATGGATATGTGCCTTGGTTGATTCAATTCATATTCTTATTTGATAAATAAAACATTTCCTTTTGAAATTTTATTTTTTCATAGGCAGATGGGATGATGGATGTGGATTATCATGATTGATTGAGAATTCATAAGCGTCATTTTGATAAACCAAAATACCTCTAGTTAAGTAGTGATAAAATTTGAACACATTAGAGATCACAAGTAGAATAAGCATAAGTTTATGAGGTTTGACACAATCTACCTATGTTTACGATCGAATAGAGAATAAATATTCTATTGAGATTTAAAAGAGGATCACATCAACGATTTCTCTTCATATATATAGTAAGAGATAAGGATATATATACCATTTTTCTACATTAATAATTGAGGAAACACTATAATTTATTGCGAAAACAAACTTGGATGTGGAGAAGATGCCTCAGCAAAGACCAATATGTCATTGGCATATAATAAGGTGGATATATGTTTCAAATTAGTAGTCACTTGGATCCCTAATTAGCCGCCAAAATACTGGAAAACTTTAGTGAATAGCTCAAAGAAGAGAATGAACAGATATGACGATAGGGGGCATCCCTGGCAAAATCAAAGTAAGTCATAATCCACTCCGACCTGCTACCTTTGATAAGTAGGGAAAATCGGGGGTTGGTGACGCATTGGAAAACCCACTCAGTGAAACGAGTGGGGAACCCCATGGCCAACATGTGCAATGTATACCCATGTGCAATGCATACCAGGCCATGCTGTCATAGGCTTATTCCATGTCCAACTTCGAAACCATCGTTCCCCCTACTTCGTGTAATGTTGGAACCTGGTAATGATCTCTTGTACCAATAGTTAATGATTGGATATCGACCTCTCAGGAATGAAGGCACCTTGTTCCTCAGTAATAATAGTAGCAAGCGCCGGTTTCATCCTATGCACCAACACCTTGGCAACCACCTTATAGAAGGATTGGCAGAGGATTAGGTACAATTTAGCTGGCGTATCAGCATTGTCCGCCTTTGGGAGAAGGACCATCATGATTTATTTCCATTCCGGCATCATCTAATTAGAGAGAAATAAATCTCTCACAATATTAATCACGTCAACCTTAACAATGTTCCAATAAAATTTTAGAAGAATGAAGAAGTATCATCGATGTTGAGGGCTCTATTGTTTCCCATGCTATACACAACTTTTCAAATCTCCTCGTCATAATTTTTTGCTTGCAGCATGTCAATAAGTTGGTTGGGGGCACTTTCCTCTAAGTTGAATTCCAGCCATCCAACTAGAGAAACATTCCTTTCCCACCACTTAGCACTTAAAAAGTGCTAGAATTCCTCATAGATGATGGTTGGATCGTCGAATACGCTCCCACAATGAGTCTTAACCTGGTTGATCCTATTGGTGCGTCTATGACCTGTAGAAATAGCATGAAAAAAATGGAAGTTAGCATCCCCTTCATTGATCCACGTAGTCTTGTAGGCCCGAGTTACCTAGTAGTAACTAGTATAGTTTAATTGATTTAATTAGTTAAAATTAAGATGGTTAATTTTTTTGTAATTAAATTTGATTAGTTGTTGATTTTAAAGATTTAAATTAATTAAGTTTATCATTAACTAGTTCATGGTGTTTTCACTGTGAACACGAGGAGACAAGCCTCCTTACGATACGTAGCCTCGCAATCCAAGATAGTCCATCCTAAAATCATGATTGATATAGTTGAATTAAGGATTTTAATTTAGTTAAGTAAATAATTAATCAATTAAGTTTAAAGTTTTACACTTCATTAAATTCGTTTGTGGTGTTGTCATAGTGGATTCGAGGAACTAGACCTCCTTATGATGTTAGCCCCACAGCTCAACGTAGTTGATTCTAAAAATTTTATCTTTGGAGTGTTTATTATGTATTAAAGTGTAAGTTGATTGATTTTTTTAATCAAGTTAATATTTTTTAGAATTTTGATTGATTATTAACTTTTTGAAAATTTTAAATTATTAAATTAAAGAGTTTCTAAATTAAAATAAATTCTGAAATATGATATTTTTTAAAATATTATATTTTAAGATGAGTAATTATATACTAAGTTAATTGAAATTGGATTTTCCTAAATTAAGTTATAAATTTTTTAAGTTTTTATTTAAATTTAATTGAAGGTTTACAAAAAAAAAAGTTAAAAGAAGTTTTTAAAAAAAGGGTTGCAAAAAAGTTCACTTTTTTACTTTGACTTAATTCTCAAGGTTTCACATTTTTTTATAAATATTAGACCTAAATGGAGTTGAATGATTTTGTTTGCTCAGTTTGAAATTTTCTAGAATTAGTTATAAATTTTCAAAGTTTTGATGTTTAATTAAATTAATTAATTTATTTAATAAAATGGTTTTTAATGATTTGAATCCAACCTAATTCCAAACTTCTTGAAATCACTCCCAAAGGTCGTTAATGACCTAACGAAGTATTCTCAATGTTTAAGATTTTTTTTTCAAACTTTTTAATTATTTTAATTAATTAAATTAATTAATTATTAAATTTTTATTATAAATTAAATTAAGCTTAAAATTGATCGCCAGTTAAGAGGCTTTTGATTTTCCTTGATTAAGGGTTTAATTTTGGTCAATTTTATATATTATTTATATATTATGGATTTAATTTATATTTACCATAATTTTTAGAAGTTTTGAGCTTAATTAAGGGTTTAATTTTAAATAAATTAAATAATTATCTTAATGATTTAAAAAAAATCAGGGGGATCCTTCAATTAGGAGAGCATGTCACTTAGTTTAAATGGTATCAAATTTCATCCCTATTAGACTTATTTTAATTTTCTAAAATTTTTCTAAATTCCTAAAAAAGTCCTTAATTGTTGTCTTTAGATGTCACTAAGTTGATAGGTTTGAAATCAATATTCTTCTAACCCCTACACAAATTTAAATAAAGTGCAATCATGCCAATCAATAGTATTAGAAACCTAAAAGTAAATGCAAGTGCAATCCAACGCATTGACATCAAAATATAACTCAAAGATCAATATAAAAAATTGAAGGATGATCAATTAAGATATGATCACATTAATCACTCACCATTAATTATATTCAATCAAGATTAAACTTTATTTAAAATTTTAGACCATAACTCAATGCATGCACAAAGATTATATATATATATATCACATCATCACTAACTGCATCCCACATCTCCTTACCTGGTAGGGTTGAAATCACACCATCATACGTCATTTTATATCTGTTCATAAAAAATAAGGTAATATTTTACTGACTATCATGACATATATGTGGAAATTAATTAAGACATTAATAGATAACCTATACAGATAGTAGTGATCATCAACATATGTATGCCATAATATGTGTTGTGTTGTTCCAATAAATGCAGCACTGTATATGCATGGTAGACCACTTAATTGCCAGAATCCACAGCTACAAACCTTCATTTCTATGTCCACATCGTGCCTTTCATGAATACCCTCAACTTCAGCTCTACTTGATGACGATTGGCGAATGATAAAATGATCTTTCTTTGTGATATCTCTAATATACTCTTCCACATGAGGAACAAGTTGACCTCTCCACGAAGCAGAAATTATCTTTCTTTGTGAGCGTTGTTCCATAAGCTTAACTCTTATCATATCAACCAAATCAACAATGAACTTACTTCTCGCTTCTTCAACCCACGCGTGAAAAGATTCTGACATATTATTAGTATTGTAGTGGTTTTTAATATGCTTAGAGAACGTCGCCTTATACCACTTGCAGGACAACTTATTCAAGTAAGAGTACACTTGTGAATTAATTTTGAAGATCTCTTCCATTTTCTTGTGCAGGTCATGTAGCTTGTAACTATTTAGGACTATCCAAACCAAATTTTTAAGCTTGTTGCCATACTCACAACAAAAGTGTTTTTTTATTTTTATATTTTTTCACAGGTGTCTCATACACACTCTGTGCTCGACATTTGAGAAATAAGTTTTATATATTCACAAAGGACCTTTTCCATGTCGAAAATGATTGCTAAATGTTCTACATCACAACCAAAGCTATCCAACAAGTTCCTCATGAACCATTCCCAGGATTTATTAGATTATGATTCTGCAACGGCATACGCTATTGTGTAGAGCCCATTATTTCCATCTAAAGAATTTGCAGAAAGCAGTACGCCAAGATACTTTGATTTGAGGTGGCTTGCATAAACTCCAATTAAATATCTACATCCATTAATGAAATCATCAATACATACTTTGAAACAATCAAACAATCTCTTAAATGCATTGCTTTTGATGTCACACATGTAAGTAATGTGCGAGCCAGGATTCTTGTTGATTAACTCAGATCACATCGTAGGAACCCACATATATTTATCGTCGACAGACCCAAACATGACATCTCTTGCTTACTCTCTTGATCGTCAAATTTTCATATATGATAATGATAATCGACAAGTTGTCTCCAAATTATTGCTAATATCTTTTGGTGTGATATATGGAGTTCTCTTTACATTGTTCTTGATTTCATGAGTAACCCAACTAGTAGTAGCTTGCTTATTCCCTGCTCTATTGACCCCAGTGCATAAATAAGTTGATTCAATTTTCCTGACTTTGAAGGAGTGCCCATCAGGACACAATGAAGCACGCATTCTCAAAGGACAACCTTTATACACACAAGTAACAATTACTCTGGATTTGTCACTATCTTTTACCTTTATAGCATAATTATTTGAAATTACAGTAGACCTAACTGCTTGCTTTAAACTTTGGGAATCCTCAAACTGCGAACCAACACATAGACTATTTGCCTCATCAATTTGGGGCATAAAAAAATCATCGCACAAATCATCTACTATAATATCATTATAGTCTC